GTAAGTGCGTAAGCGAGCACGCCCACCAACGCCCCGCCGGGTTACAAGAGGGACCCCCCCAACGTTTGCTTGAAAATCCAGAGACGATGGGGCGAGGTTGCGTCATACAATGCGGAGAACGCGGCACAAGGCATGGTGAGCGACGTGGTGGGTGTCGCCGCACCGTGCCTCCTCACCACTGTCAACACCCGCTGCGTTTGGCACAGCCATCTCGATGGTAGCGGTGGTGGTGGTTGAGGTTGTGGTTAGGATGGGGGAGCGAGCGGTGGGGCTGTCGTAGGTGCCATGCGCTACGAACTCGGCAAAACCCGAGTTTGATCCCATTCCTCACGGCCAACACCAGGGATGAATATCTAAACCGATGCAGGGCCTCCCCCAAGTCGACTCAGCCTTAAATGATTAGCTGGTGCGGTTGTGTAAACATCGGCACTGTGGGACATAAAGGCAGCCGGGCGTGGTGCTGGCAACCTACCCCAAAACCTCTTCGTCCTTAAAGGTGTTCGCCAACAGCACATGCCCAGCCAGTTGTTAAAGGCCTATATAGGGGATCTTTGTCTGTTCGTTTGGGGTTGGGGTTACCCAATATCCCCCCCCCCATCGTCCCAACTTCCTTCGGTTATGAATTGAGGTGGGAGGAAGAGGATGTGGAATTAGTAGGGGACAGAGGATGAAGAGGGGAAGCGGGGGGCTTGCTTGGGTGGGGGGGGGGGGGGCTTGCTTGGGCGGGGGGGGGGGGCTGCTCACTGGCGAGTGGCCAAGGCAGCGAGAGCCGAGTTCGAGCCACCACTCAGATCTGCCGTGCACCTGCTCGCTCTAAATGCCACTTCCCACCGGCCTCAAATGCCACGGTATATTTTTTACGGTGACAGAGGCTGGCTGAGGAACCGAGGGTCGGGGGGAGGTGGAGGGCGAGATGGGGGAAGCACAGCTTGGCTTGTGGCGGGGGGGGGGGGGCTACCCCTGGGTGCCCCCCTCCCCCCCCCCTTTGGCAGTTGGCAGAATTTTGCGGGTGGAGGGGGGGGCTAGGTATGAGCCACCGACGCCGCCGATAACAGTAATCATATAACAATAATTATTATAATAACAATATCTTACACTTGCTATGAGAGCACAGACACAAAGCCTCAGCGAGAGGGCACGCAGAGGGGCGGACAGCGACTCCGGGCCTCGCGGGCGGCTCAGGCGTGCGACCGGTGGGGAGTTCATCCACACGGCTCTGGGTGTGGGGGCAACCCCCTCCCCGACCCCCCCGCACCCCACCGACCGGGCAACCACAGGAAGATTGGGGGGCGGGGCAGGGGGGCTCTGGGGCCCCCCCAGCGAGACCACTGCGTGGGACACTTCTCCCGGCCAGCGGGCGAGGGGGGAGAGCAGGGACGATTGACACTTTGACCCGAAATGGGGTCGGCGAGGTCACACCAGCGTGACCTCTAAGCCTTCGTCCTGCAGGGCTGGCGGCCTTCTTTGTTGGGGGCGGGGGAGCTGCCCTCACCTGCGGAACAAAATATGGTCATCAAGGTCACCATGGTCTCCATGGTCATCATCATTGTGGTCAACACCATGTGTGCATCCGCGCATGCATACGTGCGTGTGTGTACGTCTTTGTACGTGCGTGCGTGCGTGCAGGTTTCACGCGGAGCGGCAGGTGCGTCGTACCGGCCGCAGCGAGGGTCTCTGTACGGGCGGGAGCCGGAACGCGCCTCCTATGTCTCCGTTGGCGCATCCGCTAGATCCAGCTGAGATTCACACAACAAAGACAAAGATCCCCCGCGTAGCTTTCAACACCTGCTCACATTTCACATCACCGTTTACACAGTGGGCAATGTGCACACTGCAACAATGGGTACACATTTAAGACTGCGTCGACTTAGGGCAGGGCCCAGGACCGGTTCAGATATTCCTCACTGATATTGGTCCCGAGCGGGAATTGAACCCAGATGTCCGAGTTCATAGCGAGGTTAGATTTGGGGAAACTTCCTCGGAGTGGGGGGGGGGGCGCCCCCTATATGGATAACAACTGAAATGTGTTTCTCCGGTCAATATCCAGAAAATAGCAATTTGCGTGGTCATACAACGCGGAGAACGCGGCACAAGGCACGGTGAGCGACGTGGTGAGTGTCATCGCACTCCACTATCAACACTCGCTGCGTTTGGCGCAGCCATCTCGATGGTAGCGGTGGTGGTGGTTGAGGTTGTGGTTAGGGTGGGGGAGCGAGCGGTGGGGCTGTCGTAGGTGCCATGCGCTACGAACTCGGACAAACCCGAGTTCGATCCCATTCCTCACGGCCAACACCAGGGATGAATATCTAAACCGGTGCAGGGCCTTCCCATGATCATCTCCACGTGGGAGGGGGGGGCGTGGAGGTTATCACCACCGAGTTTTTGATATTTCTTCGAAACTGAACACGAACGCCTCTGCTCGGCTAACCCGAGTAGCTGGGGGGGATGGCGGAGGAGAGAAGCCGTGGACTGTAGGGGGGCCGCTCCATGGAGGGGTGTGGGGATGCGGGCGCGGATTCCTTGAGCCTGCTCCCGGCACGGCAGGCATGGAGGTGTTGCGTGCGGAGGGGACTCGCGCTCGGAGCACGCAACGTCGGTCGCGTCTTAGGACCATCCGAGGAGGGGGCGGTGGATTGTGGGTGGGGGTTGCCCAGGGGACGTGATTAATCAGCAGGCAGCATCTCGTTAATGATCTTCCAATAGCGCCGGCCTGGCTCCAGCCCCGGCGAGATCTCATTAGAGTTGCACTCAATGACGAAGGCACCAAATAGCAATAACAACAACAACAAACAACAAGAGGGGGGAGGAGGAAGGGGAGGGGGGGAACTGGAATCGATAATAAGGTTTGAGTCAATTAAAAATCTTGCGAGCTGTGGGTGGCGAGGCAACTGCACGATGGGGCGTGTGGACATGGAGAGCCGCCCACACACACGGACGAGATGCACGCCGGAGTCTGCCGAGTCTGCCCATCTCACGGAATATTGCGCCAGATCCTCCAAGAGTCGGCGTTCGAGCCCCGGGTCACGCCCCTGCATGTACGGCTCTGTAGTTTATCCACTGCTGGATGAAGGGCTCCCCATGCTGTGTCGCTCGTGGGGGTTGTTTGACTCTACTTCGTCATGCTGGTCGGTGCGGGTGGGGGGTTGGTGAAGCACGTTGTGGACATCACTTGCCACTGATGTTAGCCGTGGCCCGGAATCGAACTGGGGTTCAATGGGGCAAGGGTCGAGTCACAGTCTCCGTTGTTCTCATGAGCAGAGGGAGCGAATCACCTCCAGTCGTGGCTCAGAGCCAGTGGAGAGAAATTCCACATCTCTGTGGCAGACGTGAGGACAGGATGCTACCAGGGCCGTTTGTCTCCGCGAGGCCGTCACCCGAACTGGATTGTAAGAGCGTAAGGCGAACGGAGCAGAGGCGCCCCAGTAATCGTTGAACTCAGCCAACGGTTCCCACCACATGGACGCTAAGTACGATGTGCAGCAACGTCGGTGGTATAGTGGGTGGGCGCGTTTACCGGGCATCGTCTACCCTGGAGTGACCGTGACATCGACAATCGCCCGACGGTTGTCGCAGGCAGCACGCCGGCAACTTTACGAAACCAATCGCATCGCCAAACAATAAATATATTTAAGTAAAAAAACGCGTTCGGTTTCATGTTAAATTTAATCCAAGCGGAAACTCGCGTCTGAGCGAGCGCGTAATCACCGTCTCGTGCTTGGTTCACATTATTCAGCAACGAGCGAAGGTGTATTTTTATATTTGCTCCGGGACGAGTCGTGGCGATCGTGACGAAGAACGCCGCTGAAACAAATCTGAGCCGGGCGGCGCGCGACTCTCCTCCAGCGCAAGCGCGGGGGAGAGCCGCCTGCTCGTACCGTCTCTCGTGCCAGGCGCGGCGCTCATCGCCACGGCGAGCAACGGGAAATGAAATCCTGACAAATGTCACCGCCTCCGCCCTCTCCCAAGCGACGCTCGCCTCGTGGGCCCCCACAACCCCCCCCCCCTCCTTACCCCTCCCACCCTTCCCCTCCCTCCCCCCTTCCGCCTCTCTCCCTTTCTCCATTCAACTCCTTGCCTCTCCTCCATCCGAGCCAGCTCTGTAATATCCGCTTCCGTGGGCCGTTGCGCTGCTCTGTGAGAGTTGCGCGAGGGGTCTCACGACGAGCCGCCGATAGCGACGTCGGGGAAACGACAAAACGACGTTGCGGGTGACCCCCGCCCCCCCCCCCTGCAGGGCCACCGAGAAGTCTTCGTTTTCATCCCTGCCAACCCATCGCCATCACTCCCCTCATCTCCCTCCAAGCTCCTTGGAGGGAGATGAGCCCCATCTCTGTATCCCCATCTCCCTCTCTCCCTCCCCCATCTCCCTCCCCCATCTCTCTCTCTCCCCCAGTACCCTGTCCTCTCTACACATCTCAGAGGCTGGCACGGGGTGGGGTGGGGGTGGCGGTTCATGAGGAGCGGGGGGGGGCTCCGCGGAGGCAATGAAAGCGACGATGAGGTGCTCAGAGCGAGTGAGCCTCAAGCCCCACGCACTCAGAGCTGTCGGGGGCGGGGTTCGCTAACAACAGCCATCGTCGTCGTCATCGTCGTCGTCAGCTCTGCCTTCGTCACGAACAAACCCACCACCACCATCATCATCACTGTGTTCTTCAAACGTCCGGTCAAAGTCATAGCGTCTCAGTCCACAAAGATGCATTATGACTCGGAGCCAGATTTGCAAACTCGACATTCATATGACAGAGACCAGTACATCAGGGAATAAAATGTTTGGATCCGTGGAGACCCCAGATGGCGCATACGGTGTGCGATTGGCCTGCTGCAAGATCAGCGTGTTGGGTGCACCGCACGATTCATGCGCTCTGCTGCTGCTGCTGCAGCGGCAGGGGCACTCACCGATGATGGCGGAGGCTGGCCGCGGGGGCCGGGCCGGCCGGGGCACCTCGGGGCTCGGGGGCCGCTGTGCGCCAGTGAAAACCGGCCTCAACAAGCGGGACAGGCCGGCGGCGGGCGACTATGGGACACGCGCACACACACACACAGTGGTCGTCATTGGCAGTTCAACAATTCCCCACTGGTACCCGACCGGTACCCGACCAGTACGACGGCGCTAGTCCCGCAGTCACAGTAAGGGGGTGGGGCGGGGGGGGGGGGGGGCAGCACGCACCAGCGGGGACGGCCGGCGCTCCTCGTCGGGGCTCCTGCTGCCCCCGCTGCTGCCCTCGGCGCCGGCGCCGGAGCTCATCTCCTCGACGACGAGCGAGGGGAAGAGGCCGACACGGCCGTTGAGCTCGCCCTTCCAGAAGCCGTCGTCCACGTCGCCCTCCTCCACCTCTTCGTCGGCTCCGCCGCGGTGCAGGATGCGGATGATGGCGCCCTCGGGGAAAGAGAGCTCGTCCTCCGTCTGCGCCTCGTAGTCGTACAGCGCCCGTGCCAGCCACAACTGCGGGAAGGGGGATCGCGCGCAGACGGACGGGGGTCACGGCCCGGCGCTCGGGGGTTCGGCCGACGGGGCTGCGGCGGGAAGGGGAGGGGCAGGCACGTGGGAGGGGGAGCGGTGGCGCCGCCGTTGCGCTTGCGCCCGCGAGTTTAGACCGCGTTGACGCGGCAGCTGTGTTCGTCCGTCCGTGCGTAACGTGGGGTCACGATAACCCGATACGAATTAAACTGTGCCCATGATGACAGGGTCAAAGGGCAGCCGCCCTTTGATGGCGTCACTACACACGACGTATTCGACTCGGGGAAAAGATACCGAAGTGTGAAGAAGCACACGAACAACGACCGTGGCAGTAACTGTCAGAGAGCTACGAGGAGGTGGCTGAACGGCGACGGCGAGAGAGCGACTGGCGTCGAATCGCGGGATCGTCCGTCAGCGCAACAGCTCTGCGTGGAGCAGCGGTGCGGTTAGCACCGTGCCCGGCTAGCTGAGAATAGAAAATAGGCGGCGCGACGGCGGGCTCCACGCGGTGGCATCCACCGGAGCCCGGCGACGGCGTTTTCAGTTTTGACCGAAATTCAAACTCCCAATGCGGTGGGGGGCGGGGGGGACAGGCAAGGAGACCTCTTCTGTTTCCCCCCAGCCCCCACTCCTCCACTCTGCTCTGCACGGCCCCCACCCTCCACCCCTCCATTACCCCCGCACCGGCCCTCCCCCCCCGCCGCGTCTCTCTGCGTCCGTAAGACTCGGAAAGTCCTCGCAACAAAGCGACGTCGTAAATATTTAAAGAGCGCTAAATACTTCATTGGGTGCAAATCCCCACGCCGCCCAGCACAATGCACGCGGCTCAGCCCGGCGGCGGATTAAACAGCGAGTCGGCAATACACGGAGAGCGCAGCCCCCCACCCCCCAAAACCGCCGAGCGGAAGGGAAGGCGACGAGTGGAGCAGCGCCAAGCGATCGCAGCCGAGGGGCTGTACGCGCACGTGACAATAACAAAGGTCCCCCGTGTAGCCTCGAACAGGCTGTTGGGCCAAGTGCTGCTAGCGAGCGGCTATGACGGCCGGCACGGCACTCCAGGGGGGGAAGTGTGGCCAGCACCACGCCCGGCTGTTTTTGTCTCCCGAGTAGCGATGATTACGTATTGCTCCAGATACTGATTTGAAGCTGCGTCGGGTAAGCCCAGGACCGGTTCAAATAATTGTCACCGGTGTTGGCCGTGAGCGGGAATTGAACTCGCTGGGTTTGTAGCGCAGCGCGCTGTCCACGACACTACTGTTCCCCACACACACTCATACTCCACACACACACACACCCTCCACACACACTCACTCTCCACACTCCTACACGTACACGCTCGTACGCACGCGCTCGCACGCACTCTCACACACGCATCAGTGCGCACCACTGTGGAGGGAGTAAGGGCGGGGTGGCGCGGGGGAAGCGGAGAAGCGGAGAAGCGTGGTTCTCTGCGGGGAATGTGCCTCGGCGCTCGGGAGCTGCATTAGCGCAGCGACATCACGCGTCGCCACGTACACGCGCACGCATGCGCACGTACGTACACGCGCCCCACTTAGTGCGTCAATGCCGTCTCTGGCCGTGGCTGCGATCTCCGCCACGGCTGCCCACAGATCAATAGCCGCCACTGCAGCAGCAGCAGCAGCAGGGCCTGGGCGCTCTCCGTGGTGCTGAGCACAGCCAACTGCTCGCTCCTGCAGTCCCTCTGTATGTATGTCTGTAGAACTTCTCTCCCACAGGACGTAGCCAATCTGTCCCCTCGCCGTCCAGAAATTCCTCCCTCCCCTTGGCTCCCTCTGCCAGCTACCCCTACATCTCCGTGCTCCGGCAATTCTCCCAAGTCCAGGAGTGTCCACCCTCCCGCTCCAGCCAATGTCTTGCGTGTGCGCATGTCTGCGCGTGTGCGCATGTCTGTGCGTGTGTTGTACGCACAGGGAAGCGGCAGGGTCGCGCTCGGTGAGCTGCGCTACCAACCCCGGCGAGCCGAGTTCGATTCCCGCTCACGGCCGACATCGGTGACGAATATCTCCGAACCTGGTCCCCGGCTTCACGCCTGACGTCCACTTAGCCTTGAAATTAGTACCTGATGCAGTGCGTAGGAGGCATCAGCACTGGGGAGACAAAGGCGGCCGGGCGTGGTGCTGACCACACCACGCTACCAGTGTGCCGTGTTGGCCTGGACAGGTGCTCGCAAACAGCACCTGCGTTGTGTTCAGGCTATCGGGGGTGGATCGCCGTCTTTCGTCTCGTCGACCTTCAGGAAAGAGTGAAGCTTCATATTTGGCAAGTTCATTTGGTTGAAGCCCGGCGACAAGTCGACGGGTTGGACGGTGAAGAGGGTCCCAGGACGAGCGCAAGCGATCGACCTGGCTCTCTACAACGCTCAGGCTATCGAGGGGCGGGGGGGCAGTCGGGGTGGAGGGGGTGGGGGGGGGGACCGGCGTCTCCGTACGGTCGCTCACCCCCGAGCGAGGCTTCGGTGGGCAGCTCGGGCTCGATGGAGTTGCCCGACGTGTAGGAGATGACGTCCGCCGACGTGCTGCCACGCAGACCGCCGGCCCCGCCGCCACCCCCGAACCCCCCCCCGGGCCCCCCGCCCCCCCCGCCGGGCTCCAGCGGCTGGAGGTATTTCTCCGGCACGTAGCCAACTTTGCCTGCCGCGTTCCGGCCCTGCGCTCACACAGACACCACGCACCCCATATAGAGCACACATAGCATACATAGCACACCATGCGCACCACACACACACCGCACATAACATCCACACACACAACACACATAGCACACCATACACACCACACACACACCACACATAGAACTCCACACACACAACACACACACCGCACATAGAACTCCACATAAACACCGCACGTAACATTCACACACCACACACGCATGGACACAGAACAAATGGCAATGAGCTCAAGTGTGGTGGTGGTGGTGGTGGTGGCACCTGTGATGATGTGATGTGGGATGGTGTGATGTAAGGATGGGTGCTCATGAGACTTGTAGATCGTGTGACATGTTCAGAAAGTCTCGGTGAACCTCAAGCCTCTTTTTCAGGAGGGTCCTGTCAAGCTTTTGGCAGTCGGGGCGGTGGTGGGGGGTGACGCTGCTGCTGCTGCTGTGTGAAATCCTAGTGGAGTGATTTGTAGGTTATTTGTCAGTTTGGCCAATGCCAGCTACAATGTGTGGAGGATTTGATATTCAGCTCGCACGGATGGCAGAACGTCCGGGCCATGGGACACGTGAATCGTGGGACGTCCTCACCTTGACCCAGTCCTCCATGTCCCCGTCCTCGATGATCTCCAGCATCTCATCCTTGTCAATCGTCAACTCATCCGGCATGTTCGCCTGCACAGACAAAGACAAAAGCACCCCGTGTCGCCTACCTACACGGACGCACACGTACGCAATCGCTACGCACGAAGACAGTCGCCCTGCAACAACAACGGAGGGCAGGGGAGCGACGCTCACAACAACGAGCGGAGCGCCGGGCGGCTAAAACGCAGCGAGGCGGCACAGTTAGTAGCACAGCCGCTCGTGCATCTGCCGGTCATCGCGGCACCCCGGGTCCGTTCCGTGATCTCCTGTCAGCAAGCTTTCGACACTTCAAGTGACCTCAGGGTGCACCTACCCTGGCACTCGCGCCGTGGTGAAATCACAGCTACTAAGTGGCGAACGCCCGACGTTACTGCTGCGTGCGTGTGAGCGTGTACGCGTGCGGGGGCTTCTGTTCTTCATCACCGTGGGCTGCGCGCGTGCCACGATGCACGGGGATGCGCATCCCTGTTGCTCATCCCTTCTGACAACCGCCAGCTAATGAGCGACTGGCACACTCCCGCCCAGACACACTCCCGCCCAGACACACTCCAGCCCTGACACACTCCTAACTCTGACACACTCCTAACCCTGACACACTCTTAACCCTGATACCTTCCTAACCCTGACAGCCTCCCACCTCGACAAACAACACACTCATCCACAACGTACGCTCACCATACCCACTCTATGGCCCAACAAACACTGCCAGGCACATACCACCCACAACACCCTCACCCTCACCCTACACCCACACCACACACACCCCACATACTACACCTGCGCCGTGTATCCTCTCTACCCCCATGCACACCGCACCCATCGTACACCCATCACAAACAACACAGACTGCAACACACGCTGGCACCCACCACACACCACGCACACACACACCACACACACCACACACACACACACCACACACACCACACACACACACACCACACACACGCCGCACACACCAAACCACACACCACACACACACCACACACACACGCCACAGACACACACACCACACACATGCCGCACACGCCGCACACACACACACCACACACCAAACCACACACACAACACACACCACACGCACCACACAGACACGCACCGCACACACGCCGCACATAACCCCACCATGTGGCATAAATAACGAGGAGCGGGGCGGCACGGCACGGCTGCCGCTGGCGCCAGCTCCGGCCTGGCAGTGCAGCTCGCGCTGCCAGACGCCCGGGCCCGTCGGGCGCAGGCCCAGGATTTATTTCCCCACGCAGACAGCGCCCTGCCGGGACCCGGGCTTCGCTCTCTCTCCCTGCTTCTCTCACTCTCTCTCCCTGCTTCTCTCTCCCTGCTTCTCTCGCTCCCTCTCCCTGCTTCTCTCGCTCTCTCTCCCTGCTTCTCTCTCCCTGCTTCTCTCGCTCTATCTCCCTGCTTCTCTCGCTCTATCTCCCTGCTTCTCTTGCTTCTCTTCCTCTCTCTGGCTCTCTGGCTCCTTCAATCTTTCCCTCTCTGGTTTTCTCTCCCTCTTGCACCCTAATTCTCTAACTCCCATTCTCTCCCTCCCACTCTCGTTTTCTCCTCTTTAACTCTTTCTCTCTCTCGCCCTGTGCCCTGTCGTGCTCTCTGGCTCTCCTTGTCTCTCCCTCGCCCCGTCTTGGTACATCTGCAGCTTACTTCACACCTGATGTTTCAATCGGGTTGATACAGAGAGGTTAAATATGGCAGCACCACTGCTCCTCCACTGTCAACTATCAGAGCTTGCCTTTAACTCTTCCTCCCTCTCCCCGTATTCCTCTCTCTTATTGTTCTTGCCTCTCTATTTCTCATTGCCACTCCCATTTCTTTCATTCCAGTATATGCTCCTCCAGTCGCACGCACGCACTTACGCACGCACGTCCTGCACACACAAATGCACACGTACGCAAACACATGTGTACACACGAGGACAAATAAACACACGAACACATACAACTCCGCAAATACACACAAAGACAAAGATGCACAGTATAACCTTTAACAGACTGTTGGGCAAGTGCTGTTAGCGAGCGCCTACGAAGGCCGGCACAGCACACACCTTTGTCTCCCCGGTGCTGATGTTTACACACCGCACCAGTTACTCATGAGGACGAGTCGACCTAGGGGAGGCCCCCCTAGGTCGAATCGAACTCGGGTCTCGGCGTCCGTCGCGCAGCGTGCCAGCGCCGCCGTGCCAGCGCCACCGTGCTAGCGCCACCGTGCTAGCGCCGCCGTGCCAGCACCGCCGTGCCAGCGCCACCGTGCTAGCGCCGCCGTGCTAGCGCCGCCGTGCTAGCGCCGCCGTGTTAGCGCCGCCGTGCCAGCGCTCCGTAGCTCGCCAGGCCGAGTGCGGCCACTCGAGCGATGTGCGCCCAGCGGCTGTGGCACCCGGATTTACGACTCGGCGCTGCCCGAGCAAGCAGAGGGTCGGCACAGAAATAAATAACACGCGCGCACACACGCGGACACACACGCGCATACACGCGGACACACACTCGCATACACGCGCGCACACACACACGCGACGGTGGCTACGCTGCTGCACGTGGCTGCCTGTAATCGTCCATCGCTGTGGACGAAGCAGCGAGGGTTGGTGGATCACCGCACAGATGTTGCGAATCTCCCTTGCTGCTGTGGGCGTTGAGGAAGTGCCATACCCTGGGTTGCCAGGAGAAAGCGGTACAACAGAGCGTGGACTCCTCCTGTTCCATCTGCACGTGCGTGTGTGCCCGAGTGCGCGTATGTGTGTGCATGTGTAAGTGCATGCTCGTGTATGTGTGTGTGCGCTTGAGTATGTGTGTGTGCACACGTGTGCGTGCTTGTGTATATGTTCATGTGTGTATGTGCATAAGTGTGCGTGTCTATGCGTGTGCGTGTCTATGTGTGTGTGCGTAGATGTTTGACGCACCTGATAGGAGTAGAGGACGCGGCACGTCTGTGGGTACTGCCGCCAGGTCCCCGAGGGCGAGGAGCCACTCTCATCCAGAGTGTCCGACTCAAACTCCTCGCCGTCGTAGTATCCTCCCAGCGACAGCTCCTCCTGGTGGGGGAGGGGCAGGGAGCCAGGGGGTATCAGTACATGGGCACGGTGAAGTATGGACGTTTCATATCGGTGGAAACCGCGGTCTTGAGACGCTGCAGACGGGGAGAGAGGCAGGGGAGACATTCGGGATTTGGAATTCCCTCCCAATGTCGCTTTTCCCAAGCTCTTGCCCGATTCACGTAATGCGTTACACTCGAATCCATTACAACTGTGACGAGTGCTGCTTGTTGCTAACCGTTTGTGATTTTGGTCCTTTGGGTCCTTGTGTTTAGCACCTGTGTTAAAAAAATTGCACATTTACAGACTCAAGAGATGGACACAAGACAAAGATCCCCCCGTATATCCATTAACAGACTGATGGGGCAAGTGCTGTTAGTAAGCAGGACCTATGAAGACTGGCACCACGCTCGGCCACCTTTGTCTCCCGAGTGGCGATGTTTACACAGCACACCGGGTACTGAATTTGAGGCCGAGTCGACCTAGGAGAGGCCCAGGACCGGTTCAGATAATCGTCACTGGTGTTGGTGGCCGTTAGCGGGAATCAAACTTGGGTCGCCGGGTTCGTAGCGCAGCGTAATAACCGCTACGCCACCGCTCCCAACACACACAGACGCACACAGACACACGCAGACGCACACAGACACTCCCAGACACACCCAGACGCACACAGACACATAAATGCGCACGCACACCCTTATGCACGCATCACTGCAGGAAGCGGGATTATATTCAGGTCAGCGCACAAACTGCCCGTGCCGAGGGAGTGCGGGAGGGAGGGGAGGAAGGTGGGGGGTGGAGGGGAGGGAGGAGAGGGAGGGAGGGGAGGGAGGGGAGGATCTCCTCGGGGCTGAGCCACCTCGAGCCGTCACGGCGACCAAGCGACGTCACAAACCCCAACTCGTCATCCCCCTCCTCCCACTGCTTCCCTCCCTTCCTGCCTCTTCCTCCACTGCCATCACCTCCACCCTCTCTCCCCCCCCGCCTTCCAACCCAGCCAAGCGATCGATGGCTGGAAGACATCACGGCTTACATCAATGATTTACTCTCCCTCCTTCCCCCGCCCCAGGTCCTCCCAGGGCCACCAGGCAGCTGGACGGGCCGAGTGGCCTCCACCGGCAAGAAGCCTGAGCTCGGCTCAGAAAGTTCATCCAGAGAGTACTTTTGTTCCCATATGCAATCCCATTTCCAGGTAATTTCACAGCATTGGGACGTTCGGCAAATACCAGCTACACTGCATTATTATTTCTCGCCGTGGAAGTAAACCGGAGAAACGGGAGAATACCGCAGGCAGAGTAGGGGGGGGGGACACACCGAGAGACGCCCTCCCCGTCAGTAATTGGGCATAACCACTGCGCCACCCTTCCGGTATTTCACTTGCACGTAATTTAAATAAGTAATTTCATTACATTTGTAATTGCCATAAAAATTACATGGCTCAAAGTAATTGCTAATTTTGTCTCACAACAACAGCACAACACATGGGCAACACACGCACACACACTACGCACTACCCATACCGCCGCACACCCGCCCCCCTCCGTGCCCCCCGCACATCTTCCCATCGCTCGGTTTTTCTGTTGACCCCCCCAACCCGCCGAGCCCCCTGCACCCCCCTGCCCACCCCCTCCCCACAGCGTCTGGCAGAGCAGCGGCGGCAGCAGCAGCAGCGCTCGTCAATAATTGAGTGGCCGAGCGCGAGGGCCTGCAGTGCGGCTCCCGTTAATGGGGGAAACGCGCAGGAAGCGGCTTCGCTCGGCACCATCCTCCCACTTTGTTATCGTCGTCGTCATGATCATCGCAATGCCTGTTTGCCCAGCAAGGCCTCACCGAGTCTCGCGACTCGTCCAGCAGGAGGGTCCTGCCAAGTTTTCGCAGTTGGGGGAGGGTGGGGGTGATGATTGTTGTGTATATTTTTTTAACCATCAGCTGTGATCAATCTACTGCTGCAAGAAGGCCACGAGCCGAACTTGTTGTCGGCGGTGCCCCCCCCGATCGGAAACCGGGGGGGGGGGCTTTTTTATATATATATATAAAAGCATGGGGAGGCAGAAGTTGGTGGTGCAATGGTTGGCGCACTGTCTTGTGAACTGGCCATCCGAGTTTGATTCCCAACGACGGCAAACATCAGTGGCGAGTGGCATCAGAACCCATCCTGGGTTGCCTGCTTTGTCATATGCCACTGCCACGGCGAGCCACTCCGTGCCACTCCGTGTCACGCAGGAAGTTAAGCTGAGCACGAGAAGCCATTTGCTATGCCGCTCACTCGTCCATTAATTAACGTCAGCAGACAGTGGGCGAGAGCCGATGGGAGGGGTGGGGGTAGTGTGTGGGGGTGGCGAGTCAGTGTCACGCGAGTGTGGGGATGGGTGGGATGAGTGGCGGCGCGCTGAAGGGGAGGACAGGCTGCGATTGTGAAGTCGCTGCTAGGGAGGAGGAGGAGGCCTCCGACTGATTCAACCCTCTCGCGGTCCGGGCACACTCTCACCGGGCACGCTCTCACCGGGCGCACTCTCACCGGGCACGCTCTCACCGGCAACGCTCTCATTGGGCGCGCTCTCACCGGGCGCGCTCTCACCGGGCACGCTCTCACTGGGCATGCTCTCACCGGGCACACTCTCACCGGGCGCACGACGCTCCTCTTTGCAGCCAAATGGCAATGGCGGCTTCCGATTGAGGGCATCAGGGACAGTAGTTTGTGTGTCTATGGGTCTCCGTGGGATGACTCCAACCACCCCCCTCCTCCTCAGCCTCCCGTCACCATCACCGCGCCATCGAACGAGGCTCCCCACAACGAGGGGGAGGTCGCCGCTCCTCCTCCTCCCCCGCCCGCACACCCCCCCCCGTCCACTCCCTGCGGCCCCCCCCTTCCCCGCCCCCCTGCCTCCCCGTCCCAAGTCCAGGCTCACGGTCATTTCCCGTGGCCACACAGGGACTCGTAGACTCGCACGGGGACTCGTAGACTCGCACGGGGACTCGTAGACTCGCACAGGGACTCGTAGACTCGCACGGGGACTCGCGTCCCTCCGACTCGGGGAGACCTGCGACTGCATCCCTGCTGCCGCTGGGTAAGCCCACGGTGCGCCGCGTTGAGATTCCCGGCCCTCCAGCCGCGGCACGAAGCCCAGGGCGGTCGTGGGCGGCAGCATCAGCAGCAACATCATCATCAGCATCATCATTAGCATCATATCTGAACCGGTCTGGGGCCTCCCCCTGAGTCGACTCGGCCTTAAGTGCGCGAGAACCACCGTGAACGTGTCGCGACAAGCACTCGCACAGGAGCACACCTGCACACTTGCGTGCACGCTCACCTTCACCGCCGTGCGGTCCCCAGATCCCCCCCCCTCCCCCCACCCACCGGCCCAGCTGTACCGGGGTCACGCGGCCCCCCACCCTCATTCATATTCCAGCCGAGATTCGGCATTTGGGCCGCATCCCCCCCCCGGGCAGCAGCGAGCGGCCCCACGTAATTAGAATGGATCCAGCACCCCGCTCACTCCTCCTGCTCCTCCCCCCATGTCTCCCTCCTGCTCCTCCTCATCCCTGCATCTCCCTCCTTCTCTCCCTCCTCCTCCTGCTGTGTGCCATCGCTGGTATGCGTGAACATCACGCCACATCGTCGCCACATCGTCACCACAATTATCACCACAATCGTCATCACCACCATCATCATCATCATCTACCCACCAGAGACTAAAGCCTGGCTGACTGTGATGAGATCAGAGTCTGAAGATGCAGGCTGGGATCGTTCAGTGACGTCACCAGAGACCGTGGCGCTCCGAGCAAGACCAGGCATGGTAATTGGCTACGGACGTCAAAGAAAACGAATCGCGGAGTTCGCTAATTGGCTGACCTCTTAATGATGGTTTGGGAGAACCGAACGCGCCCCTTTAACATTGACATTTAAAAACACAGAGTGGAGTCAAGAGTTTGACTGCTAACGTCGAGTAGACTGGCACGCAAATCCCCCTCGCAATCGCTCATCACAACACGAGAACACAGGAAGGAGGTTATGCGGTAAGGAGGGAACGCAGGAAGGAGGGAACACAGGAACAGCGCAGTCCTCACCGTGGGCGAGAGTTCCCCGTTGTTGCGCCGCGCCTCGGTCGCGCGCCGCTCGCTCTCCAGCTCGGCCGTCGCTTTGGTCATGGCGCCGTCGAGCCAGAGGTCGGCGTCGACGCCGACGCGCCGCAGCAGCGAGAGGCACGCGGCGGCCTTGAGCCGGTCCGTCTGCGGGCGCAACCACACGCAGCGGCCGCGTGGTGAACAATGGCGGTCGCAATCGCGTTCGATCGCGTTCGCACGCGGCGCTGTCCTTCAGTAAAATCGCTCAACCTCACACCCGCCGGGGAACCACAGATGAGCGGGGAAGGCGGCCGCAGCAGCTGCAGCAGCCAGGCGGTAAGCCGGTACTACAAACGATTGCCCAGGCTCTGCAGTCCTCTATGTAGCAAGATTTTTTTCAGCCAATTAAATGAGTACTTATCAGTGTGGGAGCCGTACCGGCTTCTCCTGGCGAGCCGAGGTCTAACACCTCCTCGACGCCCACGGGAAGGGGTTTCACAACATTTGCGCATTCCACCAACCTTCGCTGTGTCCAGAGTGCTGGATTACAGGCCACGTGCATAGCCACGACCGCCAGTCGAGCCTTTCATAGACCACTGATACAAGTGCTGTTAGCGTGCACACCTATCAAGGTCTGCTCGCACACACGCAAGCGTGAGAGCACTTGCACATGAAAAGAAGCTTTTGTGAAAGCAGGCACGTACACACACAAACACACGCAAAGCACAGATGTCCACCAAGGAATGGACACGCGACGAACACAAGTACGCTCACACGAATAAACGCATGTGTGCAGCCACTACACAACACAAACACCCCCCATATGGCCTTGAACACACTGTTGGGGCAAGTGTTGTTCGCGAGCACATATAAAGGCCGGCACGGTACACGAGGGGGTAGGTGGCCAACACCAAGCCCAACCGCCTTTGTCTCCCTGTTTACACATCGCACCAGGTACTCATTTGAGGCTCAGTCGATCTAAAGGAGGCCTAGACTGATTCAGATAATCATCACCGGTGTTGACCGCGAGAGGGAATTGAACTCGGGTCGCTGGGTTCGTAGCGCAGCGCGCTAACCGTTACACTACTGCACGCTACACGACACACACGTGCACACGTACGTGCGCATGCACGCATAGGTGCTTGCACGCACTGGCAGACGATGCACACACAACACGCACGCAGGAACGCTGCAGTCATTAAGCTGATTTGTTGAGACCAGATGCTCGTGCAGACTGGAGCCGAGTGAACGTCTCTCTCTCTGCCATCACGGGGAGTCGGTGCCACTCGCGACTCCGCAGGTGATGGCGTCGGTGCGGGGAAGCGCGGTGCGGGTCGCGGCGTCGCGGGGGTCACGGGGACGCTGAGCGGGGGAGCGGAGATGACAGGGTCTCACTCCGTCAGAGACACACAGCCGACTTGGCACCGTGTCCCCGTGTCCTCGTCTCCCTGGATTCCCATGATTCCGTGTTCCCTAGTTCCCTGGTTCGTGTTCTCATCTTCCTGCATTCCTATGTTCCCATATTCCCTCCTCCTATGTTCCCACGATCGTGTGTCATCACATCCACACATCCTATCTTCCCACGTCCCCGTGTTCTCATCTTCCCGTGTCCGTGTCCGTGTCCCACATTGCTACGTCCCCGTGTTCCCGATAGTGCCACCTCAACCATTCCCATTCATACTCACTCCCACTCGAAGCGTCACCACGAACACAACGCACTTCCCCCCCCCCACTAATGGTGTGGGTTGAGTGGTGGGTGGGTGGGTGAGGGAGAGGTGGGGCCCCATGTCTCTCTGTCTGGCAGCTGTAATTGGCAGTGGTACGCTTGAACGGCAAGGCACGTATGCACTCACGCGCACAGATGCAAGCACGCGTGTGCTAGCGTATAAGTATGCTCATGCACGTAGGCGCACATATGCACGCACGTATGCACACGCTCACACATGTACGCGCACACACATGCGCCGCACGTGCACAAAGACATGCACTCATCTGTGCACGCTCGCATGCACATGCACGCTCGCACACCCCGCATCGCACCATGCACACAAACCAGCCGCACGCTGCATTTCTCACGAGGGCGGGAGTGGGGGGGCGGCCGTGACAGAGAGGCAATAAACACTGGAGACCTCCCTGGCTAGGTAAACCGCCAGCCACGTGCCGACTGCTCCAGTCGGACCAGCGACTCGGTGTGAACACAGCTCAGAACGCCGCAATGAAGGGGGGCGGTGGGGGGCTCTGCCACCTCCTTGGCGATTGGCCGAGGAGGTCGATTAGGTTTCGCAAAACTCCGTTCCCGTGGGCATCGACGCAGTGCCCTGGCTGGCCAGGAGGCGGCGGTGCGGCAAAGTGCGGACTAATCTCCGTCGGTACCATCTGTACGGCACCGACGTGCCGCGCCTTTCACGTGCGTGGGGTTTTCTCGGGGTGCTACGGTTTCCTCAAATATGTGTAGACACTCATTAATTGGCTGGAAACATCTTCATATGTAAAGCACTGCAGAGCTTGCACAACGGCTGGTAGCGCCAGCTCGCCGCCCGGCTCCTGATCCTTCACTCGTCTGTGGTTCCTCGGCTCCTGTGAGATGCAATTTGTGTGAACGTTGCTGAATAAAAGTAAACATTATTATTATTATTCCCAATAGGCGCAATAATATGGCCCCGCGGCATTCACAGCCTGCTGTAGAGGTCATAGGTGTAACCTGGCAGGTCGCCCGGTATGCCACTGCTATTGGTCTTGAGTGGGAATCAAACTCGGGTCACCTGGTTCGTAGTGCAGCGTATCAACCACTACTGCTCACAACTACGCACATACATAGCACACGTCATGACACATATACACACACCTCCATTCTTCTAACTCGTATAGCAGACACTCATACAATTAATATTGTACTCATCTCTACCCACAAACCTCCGCTTCTCCCACAATCCCCTGCATTCCCCAATACCCCCCACCCCACACGGCGAAACCACCCCTCCCCTCCGCACACTTTATTCATTATTACTCTCAGCCAGAGCAATTTACAGCCACAATTCTGTAATTTAGGGCAAATTAAAAACGCAAATATTGCACATCCAGCGTAAATCAGATCACGTTGCCCTTCATGAATGTGCAGTGCAAGGCAAGCGTTGCTGGGAGCAGAGAGAGGGGGGAGAGAATCAAATGAGGGAGGGAGGGAAGGGACACGGTATTGGGAAAGCCGAAGGGAGCGAGGGAAGCACGAGAAATCGCAGAATGGAGCTATGCGGCAGCAAGGAAATAAATGAGCAATGAGGGGGAGTGAGGGGGAGTGAGGGGGAGTGAGGGAGACACGGAGAGACGGGGAGGGGAGAGATGTGGCGGCGGCAAGGAGGGGGGACGGGGAGGGGGCAGTGAAGAGAGATTTCTCCGAGCCGGAAGTCACGCATGCGTGTCGTGCGTACGGGCAGTCTTGCCACACACACGCATGCACACACACGCGTGCACACACACGCATGCACACACACGCGTGCATGTAGACACGGACGAGTGCACGCACACAACAACACCGTCACAACCAACCGCAAGAACGGGGAGACCCCAAATCAGATATTCACGATGGCGGCCATAGAAGTGCCGGTGGTGGCCGACTGCACCGCCTGACAGGCACCTGTCCCCCTCCGACACCCCCACCACCCTCCTATGAGGGGGGCCCACACGGTCTCCCTGGGGGGGCCACTGGACAGCCCCCCCCCCGCCGCATTGCGATGGCGACGCGTGCCTCGAAGCGATGGCGATGCGTGCGAGTGGGAGCATGTGTACGTGCGAGTGGGAGCGTGTGCACGTGCGAGTGGGAGCATGTGTACGTGCGAGTGGGAGTGTGTGTACGTGCGAGTGGGAGCGTGTGTACGTGCGAGTGGGAGCGTGTGTACGTGCGAGTGGGAGCGTGTGTACGTGCGAGTGGGAGCGGGAGCGTGTGTACGTGCGAGTGGGAGCGTGTGTACGTGCGAGTGGGAGCGTGTGTACGTGCGAGTGGGAGCGTGTGGACGTGCGAGTGGGAGCGTGTGTACGTGCGAGTCAGGGCGTGTGTACGTGCGAGTGGGAGCGTGTGTACGTGCGAGTGGGAGCGTGTGTACGTGCGAGTGGGAGCGTGTGTACGTGCGAGTGGGAGTGTGTGTACGTGCGAGTGGGAGCGTGTGTACGTGCGAATGGGAGCGTGTGTACGTGCGAGTGGGAGTGTGTGTACGTGCGAGTGGGAGCGGGAGCGTGTGTACGTGCGAGTGGGAGCGTGTGTACGTGCGAGTGGGAGCGTGTGTACGAGCGAGTCGAGTGCCTGATGACGACCGTACGAAGGAGCCCCATTGCACATTCGCGAGCAGCGATGCAAATGGGGAGTTGTGCGTTATCGACAAGCGGCTCTGAGAAATTCAATCGCTACGCCGAGTCGTGACCAATCACAAAATCGCTGCGAGTTGGAAGAGGGGGGGGGCAGATGAATCACTGGACTGGGGATCGGTGTGCATCTGAGCCCCGGGACGAGGGGTGGACGGATGGAGGAGGGGCGGAGGTGGTGTCAGGTGGGACGGGGATGGTGATGGTCCAAGATGAGGAGGGGAGATGCGTGTTGGTGGTGTGGTTTGGGTGTCGAGGTGGAGGATTGCAGAGGAGAGGGAGGTGGTGGTGCTTGGCGAGGAAGGGAGGAGGGCGAGGGGAGCGGTGGGCAGCAGCGACAACCCAAGCCAGAGCCAGGGACCGCATTCCAATTCAGAACGCGGGTAGCATGGGGGGGGGGGGGGATAACGTGCGGGGAGGGGCAGGGGGGGCTGGGGGTGGGGGGCCTCCCACGTTGGTATTCCTGCCGTGTCACGCCGCCTCCGTCACGGTGGCGAGGCGGAGGTTCCCTTCCCCGCGTCGCCTCCGAGGCGAGCGAGGCGAGGCGGCGATCGTCACCGGCGCGGGGCGCCGTGTGGGTGACGAGACTCGCAGAGCGTCCCTCTCGTACGCGGCCGCAGCTCCGCGTGTCACCGCCGTCGTGATCGTCGTCGTCGTCACGAGACATCGTCTGTCGACTGCTGGATACCTTCCCCTACATCATCATGTGATACGGGCTATGCACTGCGAGACAAAAAATCTCCCATGACACGTGGTCTATCCACTGCTGAGGGTCTCAGAGCGCACCTAGCCTGGCACAAGCGCTGCCGAGGTGTCCGCGGGTATACAAGTGCGGAGTCTTGTGTGAATGTCCCCCCCGTGCGTGCGTGCGGCTCCACCACCCCCTCTTGGTGCTACTCGCTAACAGCACTTGTCCCAAGAGTCTGTAAAGGCTATAGGGGGAACTTTGTCTTTGTGTGTGGGGGGGGGGGTCACAGGTGGCTCCAGATTACCCACAATCACTCCCCTCCCACACGCCTCCTCACATCTCCTCCCAGCACGGCGCTTACCAATCAGTGAGTAACGATTTGAAAAGCGAGGGACCTAATTAAATGTCTTCGTTATTTATTTAAGCCAACATCTGACGATTATATATTTATATTTCACTTGGCGACATTCTCCTGATTGGGCGCTCAGAGAACACGGCGGATTCCATTGGTGGCAGCGTAAACCGGTGTTCACCTCACCGCTCCACCTCACCGCTCCACCTCACCGCTCCACCTCACCGCTCCACCTCACCGCTCCACCTCACTACTCCACCACTCCACTCCACCTCACCACTCCACCACTCCGCTCCACTTCACCACTCCACCTCACCGCTCCACCTCACTACTCCACCACTCCACTCCACCACTCCACTCCACCTCACTGCTCCACCACTCCGCTCCACCACTCTGCTCCACCTCACCACTCCACCTCACCGCTCCACCACTCCGCTCCACCTCACTACTCCACCACTCCACCCCACCTCACTGCTCCACCACTCCGCTCCACCACTCCGCTCCACCTCACCACTCCACCTCACCGCTCCACCTCACTACTCCACCACTCCACTCCACCTCACTGCTCCACCACTCCGCTCCACCACTCTGCTCCACCTCACCACTCCACCTCACCGCTCCACCACTCCGCTCCACCTCACTACTCCACCACTCCACCCCACCTCACTGCTCCACCACTCCGCTCCACCACTCCGCTCCACCTCACCACTCCACCTCACCGCTCCACCTCACTACTCCACCACTCCACTCCACCTCACCACTCCACCTCACCACTCCACCTCACCACTCCACCTCACCGCTCCACCACTCCACTCCACCTCACCGCTCCACCTCACCGCTCCACCACTCCACTCCACCTCACCGCTCCACCTCACCGCTCCACCACTCCGCTCCACCACTCCGCTCCACCTCACCGCTCCACCTCACCGCTCCACCTCACCACTCCACCTCACCGCTCCACCACTCCACCTCACCGCTCCACCACTCCACCACTCCGCTCCACCACTCCGCTCCACCTCACCGCTCCACCACTCCGCTCCACCACTCCGCTCCACCACTCCGCTCCACCACTCCGCTCCACCACTCGGCTCCACCTCACCGCTCCACCACTCCGCTCCACCACTCCGCTCCACCACTCCGCTCCACCACTCCGCTCCACCTCACCGCTCCACCACTCCGCTCTACCACTCCACCGCTCCACCTCACCGCTCCACCTCACCGCTCCACCACTCCGCTCTACCACTCCACCGCTCCACCTCACCGCTCCACCTCACCGCTCCATCACTCCGCTCTACCACTCCACCGCTCCACCTCACCGCTCCACCTCACCGCTCCACCACTCCGCTCTACCACTCCACCGCTCCACCTCACGACTCAACTAAATCACTGCACCTTACCCCTCACCAGCTCGCCTCACCACTCCCCCCCCCCCCCCCCCCCCTGTCTCTCCCCAGCTCGTTAGTCAGCCATTTATTAACGGTCTTGATCTCCAAAACCGTGGAGGGGGGGCGGTGAGAGAGGGGGGCGGTGAGAGGGGGGGGGGCAGAGCGCCGTGTGTTTGAGCCAATGAAAGAACCCCCCTTGGCCCCCCAGAGGCCATTACCCAAAGCCGTGGGGGGGGGGGCTGCGTGTGAGTGGATCACTCCCCCCCTTCCCCCCTCCTTCCACCGTGCCACTGATTGCAGCACAACGGGAGGATAATTGGGAGGAAGGTGGAAACTTCGATTTTGTTTTAATGTTTCTCGAGTGTGCATCATCACCGTCATCGTCGTCATCGTCATCATCGTCATCAGTATCATCGTCATCGTCATCAGTATCATCGTCATCAGTATCATCGTCATCATCGTCATCAGTATCATCGTCATCAGTATCATCGTCATCAGTATCATCAGCAGTATCATCGTCATCAGTATCATCGTCATCATCGTCATCGTCATCATCGTCATCACCGTCATCAGTATCATCTTCATCATCGTCATCGTCATCACCGTCATCAGTATTATCGTCAGCAGTATCATCGTCATCATCGTCATCATCGTTATCAGTATCATCGTCATTAGTATCATCGTCATCATCGTCATCGTCGTCATCAGTATCATCGTCATCATCGTCAGCAGTATCATCATCATCGTCATCAGTATCATCGTCATCATCGTCATCATCGTTATCATCGTCGTGCAGTTGACCTGCCGCCCTCGTCTTGGGGAGTGGCTTCATCCAGCAGTGGATTTACTATGGCTGATGATGGTGAGATACCACTGGTGCACCCTACCCCACTCCGCCCTGCCAGCTTCCAAGGAAACCTGCCCCCCACTGCCCCCTTACCGTAAACCCCATCGAGACCCCTATCAGAACATCTTCATCCTACTCACACTTTGGACCGAAAGACTGATGCAGAGACCCATAAACTCACATAGAGACCCATAGACTTACATAGAGACTCTATGACTCACATAGAGACTCATAGACTCACATAGAGACCCATAGACCCACGTGGGTCTCTATGTGAGTGTATGGGGGGGGGGGCTGAGTGCAGCGCAAGGATTAACGGAGTCAATCAATCGGCGGCGCCACTCCACACGGCCACCACTCGCTCCACTAATTAAGTGTCAAGCCTCGTCTCGTTCACAGCCTCCTACACGCCCCCCCACCACCCCTCCCCCCCACGGACACATCCCCAACCGCTGCCCGCCTCTGACGATAAGCCAATCAACACCCCCCCCCACCCAAACTGAAGAGTCACTCGTGACGCCTACATTCACCATCATCGTCACAGCAACATCGCCTACCCATACGCATCAAGTCACCGCTGCGGACTTGCCCTGCAGCAACATCGCACAATCGTCCCTCACCCACCAAAGTCAACATCCCAACGAGACCGCCCATCGCGACAACGCCGACATCACCGACGTCAACCCACCGCCCCCCGCTGGCGCTCACCACCACCCAAACCCAACCATCGTCACTCCTGACGCTGCCGACAGGCAGCGTAATCATTATAATAATAACACCAGCGGGGTTATTATAATTATTATAACACCAGTGGGGTTATTATGCCACGGGGAATCGCCGCGTCTCATTTGAAACCTCCGCAATGGTTCCCGAGCGCTCGCTACTCATCCCCACGGCTGTTTCGCGGCACGAGAACGATTCAGAAGTCCTGCGCTTGAGAGCGGTTAGCAGAGACACACGGGGAGAGAGACGGGGGCAGAGGAACATGAGGAGAGACACGGGGAGAGAGACGTGTGCAGAGAGACACGGGGAGAAAGACATGGAGAGACGAGGCACAGACAGAGACAACGAGAGACACGGAGGGAGAGACACGGAGAGATGATAGGGAGACACTTTTAGAAGTAGACATCACACGCTGACGGGGAGCACGCTCAACACACAAACAACACATTTGTCAATTATAATAATGCATAAAATAACACTGCACATAAAGGTGCTATGAAGAAGGGCCATTTCCAGAAACGTTGCCTACGATATATTTTCCGTTTAAGGCCACACACGGTGTCGATGCTGTAGATGTGCGTCACTGCGTGTGTGGGTGTGCGCATGGGGAGCGGTCGCGCAGTGATGAGTGCACCGTGGCACCGAACCCGGCCAGCCCGAGTTTGATTCCCGCTCACGGCGGCCAACTTAGTAACTTAGTAGCCGGTGAAATGTACAAGCCTCAACACGCGAGGGAGACAAAGAGGGTCGAGAATGGGGCTGGCCACCCCCCCACCCCTCGTGCACCATGCTGGCCTTAACAGGTGCTCGCTAAGAGCACTTGCCCCAGCAGAATGTTGAAAACTATACGGGGGATCCTTGTCTTTGTGTGTGCGCGCGTGCAAGCGAGCGAGCGAGCGTCTCACCTCCGCTTTCCGGATGCTCTCCCGTGCGTCCTCCATCTTTGCCTCCATGTCAAGGTTGGCGGCCGGATCCGGAACTCCCCCCGGGCCCCCCGCACCCGCCATCTGCCCCTCCAGCCCCTCGAGTACCTAGAGCAGCACCATCATCATCAGCACCATCATCATCAGCACCATCATCATCAGCCGCAGTACAGACAGGGACCCACATCAGCCGGTGTGGTCGGCGAGCGCCCGTCACAGCCGTGTAGTGTCGGGGGGCAATTTGGAAGGCCTAGCCCCCCTGTTAGATTATTATCGTTGCAGCAAAAACACCGCTCGTGAAAAATTTGGCATTCAACGCAACTGATGACATGAAGGGATGGACGTCGCAGCCTCTCGGCTGAGAGCACGGATGAGAGTGGAGTGCACGATAGACGAGAGTCTCCCACCCACTGGGTGGGTGGGAGACTCACCCACTGGGTGGGTGGGAGACTCACTCACTGGGTGGGTGGGAGACTCACTCACTGGGTGGGTGGGAGACTCACCCACTGGGTGGGTGGGAGACTTACTCACTGGGTGGGTGGGAGACTCATCCACTGGGTGGGTGGGAGACTCACTCACTGGGTGGGTGGGAGACTCACCCACTGGGTGGGTGGGTGGGAGACTCACCCACTGGGTGGGTGGGTGGGAGACTCACCCACTGGGTGGGTGGGTGGGAGACTCACCCACTGGGTGGGTGGGTGGGAGACTCACCCACTGGGTGGGTGGGAGACTCACCCACTGGGTGGGTGGGTGGGAGACTCACCCACTGGGTGGGTGGGTGAGAGACTCACCCACTGGGTGGGTGGGTGGGAGACTCACCCACTGGGTGGGTGGGAGACTCACCCACTGGGTGGGTGGGTGGGAGACTCACCCACTGGGTGGGTGAGAGACTCACCCACTGGGTGGGTGGGTGAGAGACTCACCCACTGGGTGGGTGGGTGGGAGACTCACCCACTGGGTGGGTGGGAGACTCACCCACTGGGTGGGTGGGTGGGTGGGAGACTCACCCACTGGGTGGGTGGGTGAAAGACTCACTCACTGGGTGGGTGGGTGGGAGACTCACCCACTGGGCGTGCACGGAGACCTTGTGGTCTCGTGCCACCTTCGAGGCCCACTTGCGGGCCTCCTTGTCCAGGCTCTGGTCGACCTCCTCCGCTCCCTCCTCAGGGCCCAGCAGCTCGGGACCCTGGAGACAGGAGAAAGATGGAAAAGGGGATAGGGACCAGGGGACAGGGCACAAGGGTTAGGGGATAGCGGACAGGGGACAGGGGAAACGGGAGAGGAGACAGGGGGCAGGGAATAGGGGCAGGTGGACAGACCACAGAGGAGGGACAGTTCGGGCGACTGCTGGATTAGGGTTCCCCACAGAGCGCGGGTTTTGTGGGGTTTCTGTGACCATACTTCGCCACGTTGGTTGGTACAGAGTGGTGCCGGCGGGGGACACAGACGTGGGAGCACAGAAGTACAGAACAATACGAGTCTATTTGGGGAGACCTGGTGATAAATGGCGGAGCTGGGAACAAAACTTGCGATGAAAATAGAACATGCAGTTGCGTACACGCCACCGGCACACGTGTGACGGAGCACATGCGTGACGGAGCACACGCGTGACGGAGCACATGCGTGACGGAGCACACGCGCAGGACACACAGGGCAATACGCAATGCACACGCCCACGCACGACAACACACACGCCCACCCACGAGAACACACACACCCTACGCGCGTCGAACTTTGCAGCCAAAGAAACTCATTGGGTGGAGGTCACGCCCACTCGGCGGCGGAGGGGAGGGTGGGGGATGTTTGCACAGAGGAGCCGATTCAATCCGGGCCGAGCGTGCCCGCCCGCACGCCCGTACGCCCACGCGGCTTCTCAAATTAAATCTCCGTTTGTTCATCTTTATTGAGGTCTTTCCCCCGACCTCCAAACGGCTCCCGCACCCCGCCGGAGTCAGGGAGGGGGGCCGTCCGGACGGCGGGCCCGCGTTTGGGCGTTGGGGTGAGCGGCCAGACCGGCCGAGAGGGAGAGCGGCGCGGCCGACCACCGCGCGAGCGGGTGCCGTGCGGGAAAGCGGCGCCGCCACGGAGACGGAGCGGCGGAATCGACCCGTGCGCGGAAGCCACGAGGACCGCGAGAGGCGGCGACGGCCCGGGTGGGCCTTCGCGCGGCGACGGCCCGCGTGGGCCTTCGCGCGGCAGCGGATGGAGCACGGGAGAGGGACTCACGGCGTCGTCGCCGGTGTGCGCGCAGAAGGGCGGCAGCTCCATCACCACCGCGTTCTCGCGCAGGAAGAGCTGCAGGTCGTGCTCGCGAGACACCTACGGCGGCACGCACGGCACGCTCAGGACAGCGCTCAATACACAGACAGCACACCGCCTCGCGCAGAGCAGGGCACGCCCAGTACGTATACGGAACTCGTGCAACACACGTACAGCACGACCGTGCGCATGCGTGTGTGCGTGTGCATACGTGACCGCACTTGCGCGTGCGTGCGTCTGTGTGCGTGCAGTGGTTAATGCACTGCGCTATGAATCCATCGAACCAATTTTGATTCTCGCTCATGGCTTACATTAGTGGCAAATATTTGAACAGGTTTCTGGTCTTCCCCTAGGTCAGCTCAGCCTTAAAAAAGCACTGGAGAGGAAAAGGTGTAGAACGGCCACCTTTGTCTCCCCAGTGGAAATGTTTACACAACGCAACAGGTCCTCATTTAAGGCTGAAATTAACTGAGGGAGGCCCCGGACCGGTTCAAATAATTGTCACCGATGGTGGCCACGAGCGGGAATCGAACGTGGGTCGCCAGGTTCGTAGCACGGTGCACTGACCACTGCACTCGCGCTCCCCACGTGCCAGTGTGCGTACCCCGTGTGCGGCCTGCAGCAGGGCCACGAAGGGCTCCTGCGTGCTCTGGCACGATTCGAGCTCCGTCTGGCCCAGCACGCAGAAATACTCGCACAGCCGCTCGTAGACGTCGCCATCCAGAGCCTGCAGCGCCCACACGCACGCACACACGTGCACACATACACACGTGCACACACACAAGCAATCATCATCGTAACGACGTCAACTCGCGATGCTGTGCCACTGCTACCGCGCGGTATCCGCTCCTCGCGCTCACAGCGAGAGGGGGGGCCGTGTCACCCCAACAGTGCTGCTGGGGCGAGTGCTGTTCTCGCACTCTTATCTACATGCTATGACGAAAGGCCGTGGCCCAAATCGTCATCTATTATATATCTTTAAGGCCACAGGGTTGTATTATTGACAAACGTGTTATTTGTGCGCTTGCACCACAGCCATCACAACAGCAGCGTCAGCGTCACCAGATAGCTCGAGTACCCAAGAAGACCGGCAAGGCGCACGAGGCCAGTGTGGTGCAAGCACCTACACCCGGCCACCTTTGTCTCCCCAGCGCTGACGCCGCACAGAGCCACACTCGGCGGTTATTTTCATCGTCGCGTCACCTTTCTCGACCGTCCTCCCCCCGGGCCGCCATCCGGGCTGCGGCCGCGTGGGCTTGGCCACGACGCCCACCGCGGACCGGCCACTGGGTGGCGACACCGCACCGGCGGACGCCGCCCGCGGCGGGGCACGGCCGTGGCGGGTCAACTCGACGCCGCCCGGACCGCGGCGCTGGCGGCCGTGGCGGGTGAAGCCCGCGGGGTGGCGCGGCTCCCGAGTGCCCAGGCGGGGCGACGGCAACAGGGTGCCCCCCCGCACCAACCGGGCTACGCCGCCGAGGGTGGCGGCCGTGGAGAGTTCGTGGAGAGTTCGTGGCGAGTTTGATCGCGAGTTTAGGGAGACTGTGGAGGGTTGAGGGAGAGGCCGTGTAGAGGAGAGGGAGGGAGAATTTGTGGCACATACCGAGAGCAGCGCGGGGATGTCGGTGCTGGCGTGGCGCTGCTGGTGAGCGTTGGCGCCCGCCACGCTTATCACGTACTCGTTCCGTGCCTGCCGCAGCTTCACGTGGCACTCCTTCCGCCTCGCCGCCATCTGGCGGGCAAGCGCGACACCGCCACGCCGCGGTCAACGTCACGACCCGGGCGACGACCAACACCACATCACAAACACCGCGATCGTGGCGCTGGCGCCAGTGACGGTGCAGGCGGACTCACCCTGGCGTTGGCTTTCTGCAGGCTCGCCTTGGAGTGGAAGAGGCTGCTGAACTCGCTCCGCTTGAGCCTGGAGAACCCAACGCACACGCGTGTCACACGCTGCTCCAGCCACCTTGTCCCCGTGTGCCCTGTGTTCGTGTGTCTCCTTGTGCCCGTGTAATCATGTTCCTGTCTCCCCGTGTCCCCATCTCCCAATCTCCACATCTCTCCGTGTCCCCCATCTCCCCGTGTCCCCATCTCCCCATCTTCCCGTGTCCTCATGTCCCCGTGTCCTCCATCTCCCCGTGTCCCCATGTCCTCATCTCCCTGTCCTACCAGCTCTCGGTGTCCCCACTCTTTCCTCGCGTCTGATTGGCCATTCGCTCCAGCTCAGAGAATCTCTTCTTGGCTTTCTCCAGCTCCTTCACCGTGTCGGCGAGCTCAGCCTGCAGAGTCACCAGACGGTCCGAGCACTGCGGAGACACACGGGGATACACACCGGGGGGGGGGACACGGGGACACAAACGGGGACACATAATGGCACAAATGCACAGACACATGCATGTGGACACACGGACGCGAACAAACACACAGGCCACACAGGCACACACGGACACGTGGGACACACTTACATTGACATGGGACACACATACATGGACACGTACAGACAGACACGGACACATGGACACACACACACGGACAATCACACATTGGTCAGGTACGGCGACCGTGGGCGAGCATTGGGCTACACGAGCAATGGGCGAGCAGTGCGGGTGCCCCGTGTGGGTGCCCGTGGAGAGGGGGAGGGGGGGGTCCCGCGTCTCGCCGCACCTTCTTGAGCTGGGCGTCGCGCGCCGCCCGCGCCGCCTTGGCCGGCTCGGCCACGCGGCTCCGGTAGCTCTCGGCCGCCACGAGGCGGCTGTTGGCGGCCTGCAGCGTGCCGAGCAGCACGAGGCGCCACACGGCGAACGCGCTCCTGCTGCCGCTGGGGGGACACGGAGGGGGAGGGGGGCGATGGTCGCCACGCGCGGAGTTACGGGCCGTCGCGCGCGGCGCCGCGATTCATCGCGCGCCGCGCTGTACGCCGCCACGCACCGCCGGGTTCGGTCGCATGGCACCGCGTGAGCGCCGCTAAACAGAGAGGGGGGCGTGCGGGGACGGAAGTCCCACGCCGAGTGCCCGGCGACTCGGCACAGGGACGGGGTTAACACTGCGCGTCAAGGGCACACCACCCATGCGCCACCACCACCACGGGCAGGTTGACACGACGACGACACACCGCCACCATCACGGGCAATCACTCATCACCGGCACACCATCCCCACTCACCAGCGTCATCACACGACACCATGCACACCCGTGTGTGTACGTGTGTGTGTGTGTGCACACGTGGCACAGTGGGAAGCACAGGTGGTGCATCTGCCACCCATCTCAATCAGTCAACCCATGCCACCTGGGTCTGTCCCCTTCCACAAGTGCTGTGGTGACATCAGCAGCACTTAGTGGCGGCTGTTGTTATTGTAGGCGCGTGTGTGTGTAGGCACATGTACATATAGTGTGTGTGTAGGCACATGTACATATAGTGTGTGTGTGTGTGTAGGCACATGTACATATAGTGTGTGTGTGTAGGCACATGTACATATAGTGTGTGTGTGTGTAGGCACATGTACATATAGTGTGTGTGTGTGTGTGTGCGAGGGCAGGACGTACGTATGGGTGTATATGCACGCAAGTGTTTGCGAGTGTTCTTGTGCGCGTGTGTGAGTGTGCGTGTGAGTGTGTGTGTGAGTGCGGGTGAGTGTGCTCGTGTGTGAGTGAGTGCGTGTGTGAGTGCGCGTGTGTGAGTGCGCATGTGTGAGTGTGAGTGCGTGTGTGAGTGCGCGTGTGTGAGTGCGTGTGCGTGAGTGCGCGTGTGTGAGTGCGCATGTGTGAGTGCGTGTGTGAGTGCGCGTGTGTGAGTGCGTGTGCGTGAGTGTGCTCGTGAGTGTGCGAGTGCGTGTGTGAGTGCGTGTGTGAGTGCGTGTGTGAGTGCGTGTGCGTGATTGTGCGAGTGCGTGTGTGAGTGCGTGTGCGTGAGTGTGCTCGTGAGTGTGCGAGTGCGTGTGTGAGTGCGCATGTGTGAGTGTGAGTGCGTGTGTGAGTGTGCGTGTGTGAGTGCGTGTGCGTGAGTGTGCTCGTGAGTGTGCGAGTGCGTGTGTGAGTGCGTGTACCTATTGTTCCCTCCCTCCGGTTCTTGCACGCTCCACTCTCTCCGAAGGAACTGTGACGACAGCTTCTGCAGGCCCTGCACACATGTGTGTACGTGTGTGTACGTGTGTGTACGTGTGTGTATGCGTGTATGCGTGTATGTATGCGTGTATGTATGCGTGTGTGTGTGTGTGTGTATGCGTGCGAGTGCATGTGTGCGACAGACACGTCAAGAATTAGGCGCGCAACAAGTCCTCAAATACAAATCGGACCTTAAGCTTACAACACACCTGCAGGATCTTGGGTGAGCGAATCAATTATTTATGACGATGCAAAGCATATGCAAAGTATATGCTCATAATTTAAAAAAATGTGTTGAGCATTGTGAACAGCCTGGAGGATGACACAATTGTTGTGAAACTCCTTCCCGGTGGGCGCCATGGAATCTCCCCGGTCGCACCCGTTCCTTCCCACACATTAATTGCCCACTAACACTTTGATACGTAGAGGACAGCAAAGCTCGGGTAAATCTGGCTGCTGCCTTCCTGCTTCTCTGTGGTTCCTCGTCCTCATGGCACCTCTGAGTCGGCCCCTCTCTCGTTCTTGCAGAGGGCGACGACCACGCGGCAGTGGAGCGGTGTCACAAGCGGACATTATTATAGGCACCCTTGCAAACGAGATGTGCCCAACACGTGGGATTTATCCAGGTGGAATATGTCAATTGTAAATACATAGAAACAGGATAAATGTTCAAACTACGAATTGCTGTGTGGGGGGAAGGGCATTCCAGGTCCCCCCATTAACCCCAGAGTTGAGTGACACCTGCGTGCCCTAAACAACCGGATTACAGCCATCATCATCACGCCCCGTGTGACAGCTGCACACATCACACCAAACACAAAGATCACCCCCCCCCCACCTCCATAGCCTATGCAGGCTGGGTGGGTTCCACATCAAACACAGACAAAGATCACCCGTATAGCCTTGAACAGACTCTTGGGACAAGTGTTACTCGTGAGCGAATTTGAAGGTTGACACGGCACAGGAAGAGGTGGGTGGCCAGAACCACGCCTAGCCACTTTTGTCTTCCCAATGCTGATGTTTTACACCCACACACACGCGCCATCGGGTGTCTCATTTGAGGTGGAGTTGACCTAGAGGAGGCCCAGGAGGGGTTCAGATATTCGTCACCGATGTTGGCCATGAGCGGGAGGAGCCTGCCGGCTCCTCTCGGAAGGGGGGGCCAGTCGAGCTTCCGTGTGGGGGGCCTCCGTAACGACTGGCCAAGGCGACCGCCGCCGGTGCTGCCGCTGCTGCTGGCGCAGGGCCCACGCCAGGGCTCCACGAACTGGCGGAAATCGACCTCGGGGCGTGGGGTTCATGGCGCAGTGCGCTAACCACTGTGCCACCGCTCCTCAACACACACACACATCACACATCGCACACGCGAAACGCAACACAGAGACCCGTCGGGGTTCGCCGAAGGGTTCGAATCGAAAGGCCCGGTGGCGACGAGCGCTACGCCTGGCTGGCCGTTGTCGAGGTCGCGATGGCCCACCACCGGTCACGCGTGTCACGAGGAGCGGTCCTAGTGGGCAGTAGCTCACACTCGAGCCCTCGTGAGGCCATCGGTGAGGGCTCACACGGACAGGCGGAGGGACGCAGGGGTGTGGTGGGGGGCCCCATTAACCTTTAACACTGCGTTCTCCACGAGCCCCCCCCCCAGTACAACTCAATTAAGGAGGTGTTGAAGGAGCCCCCGATTAGCTCCGCGGGCGTGCACCGCCAAGCCCTGTAAAGCGCGCACTGTACGGCCCAAGAGACACGCGTACAATACACACACAAACACAAAGATACCCCGGGGAGCCTGCACAGGTTGTTGGGCAAAGTGCCATGAGCGAGCGCCTATGAAGGCCGGAACGATCCACGGATGAGGGGGTGCAGTGGCCTGTACCACACCCCGCCGATTTCTCTTCCCGGTGCTGATGTTGACGCACTGCGGTGGGCTTATCACTACGCTACCGTTCCCCCACACGCACAAACGCAGTGGCCGCTGTTGCGACCAAGGCACGGTGACGCGTCGCTGGTCTGAATTGTGACCGATAACCCCAAGAAGGACAGCGAGAAGAGACTTGGAGGGTTTGGGCTCGTGTCGAGAAGAGATTAGAGGCCCACAAACTGGCATTGGGAGAGAACCACACTCCCACAGAGAACTAGAGCATCATGTGAGTGTCTGTACGTGAATCTACGGATCATGTACGCAAATGTAAGTCTACGGGTGTCTCAGTGAGTCTCCGGGTCTCTGTGCAAGTCTGTCACTCGCTATGTAAACACCGAGCACGTGACTCCAGAAGAGACATCAAGCACATGGAGAGAATAGTTTCAAACAGCCGACGCCAACGCAAGAATGAGACTTCTGGCTCAGAAGAATCTGGCAGATGCTCGCTCGCCCGCTCACAAACACGAGCATTCCTCCGCACCATCCCCGCTTCCTGTCGGGTCTTAGTTTCTAGCGGACGGAGTGGGGGGGGGGCGGGAGGATGGGGGGGGGGTCAGGAGAGTGAAACCCATCTGTGGGCAACATTCCGCCCTCTCCATAGTCCCTCGTTACCCCCCACCCCCCCAAACCCCTCTTCCACTCAGAGTCCATTGGCTCGTGGCGCGATCGTTCTCATAGTGCGGTGCGGCGACACCGCTACGGAAGGCGCTGCTGCTGCTGCTGCAGCTGCGTCCCAGCGGGGGCGGTGGTGCCATGCGTCCTGTGCAGGAACCCATGGAGCGACGCGCGGAGTCATTTTTTCGAAATTGGAAAAAGCGGACAGTAACGGCGGCACCCAACAGCCACCAACAACCTTTGAGTTTGCCGAGCAGCAATAGGAGGCTAATGTTTACCACTCAGTGAAACCCCCCCCCCCCCCCCACCATAGTAAGTGAATCTAAGGGCTAGCGATCCATGAGACTTGACGTGTGCACACACTCACACACACGGGCCAGGAGTGAAGCCCATGCTCTTCTTGCTGCTGGGCACACGCGTCCCCAACTGCGCCATCCTGCCCGTGCCCACTGTGCGGACGCGGGAGGTGGTGCGGCGGCGGCGGCGGTGGTGGTGCCGGTGATGTCACCGCACCACCACCACCACCACCGCACCGAATCGCGATTTGGCTCTGCCGCCCGCCGGCGCGCTGTGCGCCAAAACCTCCGCGGGAGCTCCTGGCCACGCGGATTCCCGGGGGGAAGTGGAGGGTGACGCCCCCCCCCCCCCCCGCCCCCACTAGGGCGGTGGCGGCGGTGGCAGCGCTCACCGCCCGGGCCTGGCGGGCACCGCCGTGCGTGACGGCGGTGCCGGCGCCTGGGAACGTGGCGCACTCCGGTCTCTCACACCTCCACCCTCACCTGGGAGACGCGTGGGGGGAGACGCGTGGGGGGAGACGCGTGGGGGGGGCACGTGGGGGGAGACGCGTGGGGGGAGACGCGTAGGGGGAGACGCGTGGGGGGGGGCGCGTGGGGGGGCACGGAAAAGATGGGATGGGAAGATGCAGGGAGAGGGGGGGCATAGGGAGATGTGGGGAGAAAGGGGGGTGCTAGGGGAGACGCTAGGACACACGTGGGACTTCCCAAGGGATGAGTCGCTATGAGCCACGAGACTGTGATATGCACACTGACCACATGAACCTCACACTGACCACATGAACCTCACAATGACCACGTGATCCTCACACTGGTCACGTGAACCTCACACTGGTCACGTGAACCTCACAATGACCCCATGAGCCTCACAATGACCACATGAGCCTCACAATGACCACATGAGCCTGCCAAATGAATCATATGACCGTAACACGTGACAATGTTTTAAATTCTATTATAATTATGTTTGTTTACCCAGGAAAGCATCACTGAGTCTCAATACTCATTTTCAGAAGGGTCCTGCCAAGGTTCCGCCATAGGGGGCGATGATTGCTGTATGGAATCTAAGCGAATTATTTGTGGCGACTTATTTTGCCAAATTCCTGACACACGGGTTCAGGCACACGGCCCACACAGCATTTCAACTTCTGCCACTCTCATCACTCGATCCTCGGGCACACAACCCCCCTGGTGCATGGCACACACAACTCTGAACCACTGGTCAGATACATGGCCCACAGAGCCCGAATGGAATTGATATATACAATTATAACAATAACAATAAACATTGTATCACGCACGCGTTATCTCGCGAATCGGACGTGATGTTCGATCGAGAACTCGGCGGTCCGAAGCCAGAGCTCAAAGTCCTCCGTACGCAAGCCTGAACAGGTGAGGGCCTGAACAGGTGAGAGACTGAACAGGTGAGAGACTGAACCAGGTGAGAGTCTGGATAGGTGAGAGACTGAACCAGGTGAGAGACTGGATAGGTGAGAGACTGAACCAGGTGAGAGTATGGACAGGTGAGAGACTGAACCAGGTGAGAGACTGAACCAGGTGAGAGACTGGATAGGTGACAGACTAAACCAGGTGAGAGACTGAACCAGGTGAGAGACTGAACCAGGTGAGAGACTGAACCAGGTGAGAGACTGAACCAGGTGAGAGTCTGAACCAGGTGAGAGACTGAACCAGGTGAGAGACTGAACCAGGTGAGAGACTGAACCAGGTGAGAGACTGAACCAGGTGAGAGCCTGAACCAGGTGAGAGACTGAACCAGGTGAGAGACTGAACCAGGTGAGAGACTGAACCAGGTGAGAGACTGAACCAGGTGAGAGACTGAACCAGGTGAGAGACTGAACCAGGTGAGAGACTGAACCAGGTGAGAGACTGAACCAGGTGAGAGACTGAACCAGGTGAGAGACTGAACCAGGTGAGAGACTGAACCAGGTGAGAGACTGAACCAGGTGAGAGACTGAACCAGGTGAGAGACTGAACCAGGTGAGAGACTGAACCAGGTGAGAGACTGAACCAGGTGAGAGACTGAACCAGGTGAGAGACTGAACCAGGTGAGAGACTGAACCAGGTGAGAGACTGAACCAGGTGAGAGACTGAACCAGGTGAGAGACTGAACCAGGTGAGAGACTGAACCAGGTGAGAGACTGAACCAGGTGAGAGACTGAACCAGGTGAG